CCCCATCTCTTCCCATCTCCCCCATCTCCCTCCATCTCTCCCCCATCTCCACCCATCTTTTTCCATCTTCCTCCACCCCTCCCCCAACTCCACCCATCTCTATCCATCTCCTTCCATCTCTTCCCCATCACCCCCTTCCCTTCCCATCTCCCTTCATCTCCCGTCTCCCTTAATCAACCCCCAATCTCCCTCCATCTCTTCCCATCTACCCCATCTGCCCCATCATCCCCATCTCCTCCTATCACCCCCATCTTCCCCCAACTCCCCCATCTCCCCTGTCTGTTCCCATCTTGCTCCACCTCCCTCCATCTGGCTCATCTCCCTCCATCTCCCCAACTTCCTCGCATCTCCCAATTTCCCCTCTTCACTTCCCATCTCCCACCATCTGCCTTAATCTCCCCCCATCTCAACCCCATCACCCTCATCGCCTCCCATCTCCCCACCTCTTCCTATCGCCCTCATCTCCACCCATCTACCCCCAATCTCCTCCCAATCTCCCACCATCTCCCCACATTTCCCCCATCTCCCCCCATCTCCCTCCATATTCCTCATCTACCCCATCTCCACCCGTCTCTCTTCCATCTCCACCCATCTCCCTCACATCTCCCCATCTCCCCCGTTCCCTTCCCATCTCCCTTCATCTCTCTCCATCTCCTCCATCTCCCCCATCTCCAATATTCCTTCCTATCATCCCTATCTCTGTCCATCTCCCCAAATCTCCTCCTATCTCCCCCCGCAATCTCCCCCAGTCTCCTCCCATTTTCCCCACGTTCCTTCATTTACCAACCTCTCCCTGTCTGCACCCACCACCCCAGCTTCAACAATCTCCCACACCTCCCCATCCCCATCTCTTCCCATTTCCTTCCCATATCCCCAAGTTCCCTCACCTTCTCCCATCTGCCCATTTCTCTCCCTATCTCTCCGTCTCCCCTCATCTCTCCCCCATCTTCCCCACAATGCGTGGTGCAAGGGGGGACATGATTATGGGAGGGTGGGTCGCACCAAAGGACACATGTTACTGTCCTGTTCCCCCACTCAATCTCCACCAGAGAGAGAATGAAGCCACTTAGTCCCTCCAAACTCAAGCAATTCTGGCCCCTTGTGTCTGTGGAGCCAATATTTTCAGCCTGTACCTCAGGACATGGGAGGAGGGTACTTTGGCCTGAGTTTCTCTCCTTCTCCCACCTCCAGAGCACACTGCCCCCCTCCCCACACTGCCCTCCCTCCCCAGAGTGCACAGCCATCCATCCTCGGCCTCACTCACTCTCTCTCTCTTTGGTTTCCCACAGGAATCGGAATAGGCTCCATCTGCCAATGAGAGAGGACCAGGAAACTGAAGACAAGATTCCGGATTCATTCCCGGTCAACGTTTCACCTGGGCCTTGCTCCAAAGGCTGATTCCCTCCGGATCAGAACTGCCTTCTCTCTGTTTTAACTCTTAAACACTCTCTCTGTCCCTCTCTGTCTCTGTCTTGCTGTCTCTCTGTGTCTCATTCTCTCCCTCTGTTTGTTTGTCTCTCTCTCTCTTTCTCTGTCTACCTCAATCTCTCTCTCTATCCTCATCTCCCTCTCTCTGTCTCACTCTCTCCTCTCTCTCTCTCTCTCCTCTCTCTCTGTCTCACTCTCTGCAAATCTATCTCTCTCTCTCCCCCTCTGTGTCTCACCCTCTCCCCCTCTCTCTCCTCTCCCTTTCTCTATCTCCCAATCTCTCTCTCTCCCTCTGCCTCTCTCTCTCTGCATATCTATCACTCTGTCCCTCTCTCCACCTCTCCCTCTTGCTGTCTCACTCTCTCCCCTCTCTTTCCCCCTCTCTCTCTTCTATCTCTCGTTCTCTCCTCCTCTCTTTGTACAAATCTATCTTTCTCTCTCTCCCTCCCCATCTCCCTCTCACTGTCTCAGTCTCTCTCTCTCCCTCTCTCACTCTGTCTGTCTTCTGTGTGTGCGTGTCCTCTCTCTCTCTTTCTCTCGCTCTGTATTTTCTCTCTCTCTGTGTAGCCTTTCTCTCTCTCTGTCTGTCTGTTCTTACTGATGAACCAATTCAGGGGTTTTTGTAAATGTATTTTTAGGGACTGTGGGGCTTTGGGATGGGAGTGGGGGGGTAAAGACATTGCATCAAGCTGTAGACCGGCTCTCCCTGTGGGTGAGCCACCGCCTAGGTCTATATTTCACGGCCAGGCCACAAGGAGTTGGTTACTGTTGCTCAGCACCCAGGTGTGTAAAGACAAGGCAGTGCTACACACCATCTGCTTTTGCTTCTCTTCGACGAACACGAAGCTACAGCAGGGAAAATGGAATGGGGTGTGGGGGGTGGTTTGGGTGTACATTTGTGCCATCATATGCTCTTCTAGCCCTTCGCTCGGGAGTCTGTGCAACCAGACAGAGGCTCTACTTTTCGGTACCGTGTTTCTCTGTCTGATATCTCAGTGTGAACTGTCAATAAAACTCGCTCTGTGCCAGAGCTCACGGTCTGCAGACTGTTTGTTCCCAATTACATTGCATCAGGCTGAACCCCATCGGTCTCTCTGAATGAGGGACGGTGCACGAGGGGCTCAGGAAGATGCCATTCGAGCCATTGCGGGACTGAGGGAGTAGCAGAGAGGAGAGAGATGGGGGAGGAGAGAGGGGGAGGAGGAGAGAAGGAGGGAGGGAGAGAGAGAGAGCGGAGAGCGAGGAGGGAGAGAGATGGAGAGGAATGGGGGAGGGAGAACAAGAGAGAGAAGGGGAGAGAGAGGGGGAAGTGAGACGGAGAGAGAGGGAGGGGGCAGAAAGAGGGATGGGAGAGAGAGAGGAGAGAGAACGGGAGAGAGAGAGGGACAAAGCAAGGGAAAGAGGGGGGGAGAGAGAGAGGGGGAGAAGGGGGAGGGGTGAGGGAGGGGGACGAGAGAGAGAGAGCGAGAGAGAGAGGGCGGAGGAGGGGAGAAAGAGTGAAGATGGGGGGAGCTGGTAATTTTCCACTGAGCTGTTTCTGTGTGAGATTTTTATCGCAAACAGTAATAAAAGCTATAGGTTGTGGCTGGAGGCAGGAAGAGAAGAGGGTTTTTAATGTCACGCTCTCTCAGCTCGGCTTGCGGTTTTTTGTTTCTCAAGATGGAGAACAGGCAGATAACGTAATGTTATTGACAGGCAGCCTCCGGCTCTGGGGGGAGGAGAAAGGGTAAATGTGTCAAAAACTGCAGTCTCTCAACTGAGAGAGAAACAGAGAGAGAACGCAGTCTGCAGACAGTGAGAAAGTGTGGGCTGTACAGGTGGTGGGGGGGAAGGGAGACGGAGGGAGAGAGGGAGGGAGGGAGTGGGAGAGAGGGAGAGATAGAACAGTAGGTAGAGAGAGACAGGGGGAAAGGGGGTGAGTGAGAGAGAAAGAGAGAGAGAGAAAAGGAGGGAGGTGGGGGGAGAGTGAGAGAGAGAGAGAGCAAGAGAGAATGAGAAAGACAGGGAGAGACAGAAATGGATAGACAGAGGGTGAGAGATGAAGGGAGTAGGGTTCTGTGTCTCTCTCTCTCCTAATTACTCCCTTGTCACGAACTCATACAGCATCAAAACAGACCCTTCGGTTCCAACCCGTCCGTGCTGACTCAGATATCCCTAAATTAATCTAGTCCCATTTGCCAGCATTATGCCCATGTCCCTCTAAACCCTTCCTGTTCACGTCCCATCCAGCTGCCTTTTAAAAGCTATAATTGTACCAGCCTCCACCACATCCTCTGGCAGCTCGTTCCATACACGCACCACCCTCTGTGTGATAAAGTTACCCCTCAGGACCCTTTTAAATCTTTCCCCTCTCACCTTAAACCTAAGCTCCTCTAGTTTTGGATTCCCTCACTCTGGGGAAAAAAGACCTTGGCTATTCACCCTATCCATACACCTCAAGATTTTATAAACTTCTATAAGGCCACTCCTCAGCCTCTGACACTCCAGGGAAAATTGCCCCGGCCTATTCAGTCTCTCCCTATAGCTCAAACCCTCCAACCCTGGCAACATCCTTGTAAATCTTTTCTGAACCCTTTCAAGTATTACGACATCCTTCCTATAGCAGGGAGACCAGAACTGCACACAGTATTCTGAGTAACTCTCCTCCTGCCTCCCCAAAGCCTGTCCCACCATCGACAAGGCACAAGGCAGGAGGGTGAGGAAATGCTCCCCACTTGCCCCTAGATGGGGGCAGCTCAGACAACACTCGAGAAACTCGACACCATCCAGGGACAAAGCAGCCCCTCTCCTGCTCGATGGGCACCACATCCACAAACATCAACCCCCACCCTGCACCGCTCAGACACAGTCACAGCAGTGTGTACCAGCTACAAAACGCCCTGCAGAAACTCACCGAGGCTCCTTAGACAGCACCTTCCAACCTCACGGCCACTTCCATCCAGAAGGACAAGGAGCAGCAGATACATGGTAACACCACCCCCTGCAAGGTTCCCCACTCTGAGCCACTCCCCATCCCAACTTGGAAATATATCGGCCGTTCCTTCAGTGTGGCTGGGTCCAAATCCCTGGAATTCCCTCCTCAATGGACCACACTGACTGCAGTAACTGAAGAAAGTAATTGAAGATGGATAATAAATGATGGTCTCGGCCCATGACATTCACACGCTGAGAAAGTGAATAAAAAGAAAGAACGCTTTGCAGGAATATTTTGTTTTTGTTATTTCTGAGCGAATCTGAAAATAAAGTATTAGGATGTTATTCCTATCAATCTGCATGTACAAGCCAATCTCAAAACTGGGAGTTACACGTTTAGGGCAGAAATTGGGAGAAATTTCTTCTCTGCAGGGGGACAGAATTCTTTACCACAGAGGGTTATCAAGCCTTGGGCATTGAGTAC